GTACATATTTTAAACATATCATTAGCAGTAGGTAACTTTTAATGTGATAAGTACATGACTTGTGTATAGGTGTTCTTGTACATTAAGTGAATCATTTTGTACAGGAAGGGCAAAGCTAAGTGATGCAGCCAATGTTATGTTACATACAGTTAGTGTACAATGCATAACGGTAATAAATTAGATTTAAACACTGGAACTGTTAAAAATGTGCTAAGTTCATTATCCTGTCTTTCCTTATTCCATGTAAAAGATAAGTAGTACAAATCTGACCCGTAATGAATCCTCTCTCCCCTTTAAACGTTCTTCTTCCCCTATTAATATCTACACCGATGGAATTTTTTTTTCACATACAGGCAACTTGTCAGAGCCTCTATACCTGGACCAACACAAATTATTGAAGATGCAGTGTGGTCGAAAAAGAATCAGTGTATTGGTCGATCCTCCACATTCAAAGGGCCCAAAAGAAAATCAATGCTTATTATATATTGAGCTCTGTTCACTTAACTAAAGTGGCATATGCAACATGCTTTTATCAGGTTAGTTCTAACATGTAGCATTGAAACATTTATTAATATTTAGATGTGTCTCTGTGTGTAAAAATGCATTCTTGTTAAGATACATTTACTTCATGCAGTGTGGGTCAGTGAAATCAGTTCTTATGTACAAATCTAAAATGTTATTATAAGCATTGATTTCACAATCGATAACAGTCAAACATCGATCAATAGTACCAACGAGTACCCGAGAACTGATTGATAAACTGCTCTTGGTTCCTGTTGACGAATAAACCGGAGTTCCCTCTCGATCTCGGGTGGGCGATATTGAATGTAAGCTAATTGACCGATTACCACCAACACCCCCAAGATAGAGTCAGGATAACCTAATTTATAATCTTACCTCGAGCATCGTACGCTTGCTTTACTCAGTCGATATATTTCATTCCTCCATGACATCTCAAACGCGTGTCAAAAACATGAAAATAACTTTCATACGAACAACAGGGAACTCCAAACCTCAATTTGCCTTGAAACTACGATGCCAATTCTTGAACTTGTTCGTTTCGAAATTCCAAATAATAAATACCACGCGCAATGAATGACAAAACAGTACGAAAAAATAGCATTTCTACCACAAGTCGATGAAAAGACAAAAATAAAACAGTAGAATCCTTAACTCCGTTGCAGTCTTAGCGGTTTAAGTATTAAACTACCAGAAGCTTTGTGTTTGGATAAGATATTCAACGGTAAAGTTTTTAAAGGCGTAGAGAGGAGAAGTTAACACAAGAAGAGACGTCACCTGCGCATGTCTGAAATTTCCTTAACTCACGTGCGCACGCTGTACCGTGAGGCCTAAATTTATAAAAAATGAAAATTAGATAATGTACTATTGCTTAATATTGTTTCAAAGTTGTCCAGGTTTTTATATGAGCTTAGAAGATGCTTTTTCACAGCTGTTTTGAATAGTTTTACACTAGGCTTATTTTTGATATCATGGGGAAGGCTTTTCCATAACTTAACTGCGTCAACACTGATTGCCAGTGTGTGAAAAAGTAGTAACAGGCTTTTTCTTTTCTTGCCTAAATGCCTTTGTCCAGGTTTCAACGTCTCTCCTGGCGTGCGTAGCTGGTTCTCGTATTAACAACCTCTATAGCTATTTACCAACCCCTCCCATTTAATATGTACTGTTCCCTTGATCTATTTGGCAGTTTGATTACATGTCACCATGGATCTGTTCATTTATATATCACAGATGACGTCAGAAGGTGAGAACAAAAAGATGTCGACCGAGCGTGTCACTGATGTTCTTACCTTTTCTGCGATCTATCAAGAGATTATAAACTGTTCATTATCTCTTGGATCCATTAATGAACAGACCCACGGCGACATGCAATCTATATATTTTATGGGATGAAAGAGCAAAAAGTTGTCAATGGTGACGTCATCTATGCGTCTGTCATGTAATAGATCACGAGTAAAAACCAATCAAAATGTTTGTATTTATGTATCTGTTCGTTATTACACTCTCTCGTGAAATGAAACATGGCGAGACTCTGATGTGTCCTGTATAGGCCTAACTACAAGTCGCCCGTAAAATTGTCAATTGCTTTTCATTTTTTTTGTTATTAAATTTAACCTAAGTCTATAAAGCAAGAGCTATCTCTCGCTTTTCACTGAACGTCATACGACCATAAAGCACAGAAAAGTCCTCTTGTCGTCTACTTGGGCTTAGTCGTACGTGGAAAAGCTGACGCCTGACAAGTTGTTGTCTTTGCCCCTGTTACGTCACACTTTTCTAATTCGCAACTTTGGCAGGATTTTGATTTTGAATACAATATTGAATACAGAGGCTGATGTGATTAAAATAATGCATACTGGCGGGTTTTTGTGTCTCTAGAAGGAATTGTTTGGATAAATCACAACCTTTTCTTTGGGCTTGTCATTCGTTTCTAATCAGAAACGAATCAATTTACCTTAACAGCCAAAGTAAGTGTTCTTAATTGTCTTAATGACGGGTGACTTTTGAGTAACTTGTTTGCAAAATGAGTAAATTTAAAAAAGAAATTGAATGAACAAGTAACGTTTTCTATAAGAGCAAGCAACGCTCTGAAAAAGAAAGAAAAAGAAGAAGAAGAAACAAAAAACAAGCGAATTCATAGCATTTTCAAGCGAACTTCGAGAAACGTTTGATCATTTGCTAGCAACTCGTGGACAACCTAGTCCACCTCGAGTGTTGGAATCGTCGAGTGATGACTGATGAAAGCACTATGTACATGTGTGGGACGTGCGTAGAAGAAAAACTTTTAATCACCTCGGTGCAAAAGGCAAGACAAAAGTTTGTTGTCGATTTTTGGCCGTTTGTGCAATGTAAAAATATTTCCATTCCTTATTAGCACGAGATAATTGATCACGTAGTCTTCTAATTTGGGTTCGAGTAGAACTGAAAAGCAGGCTTCGATGACATCTGTTAAGGTTTATCTACTCGTCTTTAATTCGGAACGTTACATGCATTGGTTGAAAACTGAGCTTCTTCTTAAGGTAAATTCAGTTACTAAGGTGTAAAAGGCAGTTTGTTCTTCTACGTTCTTATTTTTTAATCAACTAAGATATATTTTACGTGGTAAAAAAAACTTTTTCTTAAAGCTCTCCAATCTGATTTGATATTATTTATCGAGTTATCTGTGTAATTAGCCTAAGGAAAGCCACACCAAGAGATAAATCTTTGAAAAAGACAGTGGAACCCCTCTAAACCGGACCCTCATAAAACCGGAATCCTCACATCCGGAAACCGGACGCTTTTTTCAGTCCGTAATCACCCACTGACAAAGAAATTGACCTTGTTAAACCGGACGTGAAAGTTTTAAGCTTGCCGCCAAAATCAAATCACACGTTTTAAAAAGTGATTAAAATTGAAATTGTAATCGTGCAGCTGTGACATCCCAATCAGAAGTGAGAAACGCGCATTGGCTAATTACTCATTGTTCTATCGGTACTGAAGCAAAAAATCTAAAGTCGACAATCGTGCCGCTATTTGTTGGGTTGAATGAAGACAACAATAGGGGTTTGTCATGTTGCGGGTGAAATCACTTGCGAAAACAAACGAAGTAGCAAACATCGCTATGTCTGAGAGACCAGCGAAACGCCAAAGAATCGAGTTATCGTTAGAGAAGAGAATTGAGTTGATCAAATGCGCGGAATCAGTGCCTAAACCAACACTGAAGGCTCTAAGCGGTAAATGTGGGATCAATAAATTAAATGTACGTAATATTTTAAAGAAAGAAGTCTACAAATGAATTAAAAGCGGCGATCATATTACCCTGTGTGTAACACTGAAATTTTGGGAGATTAAATAAAATGACGTTGAAAAGCTTCCTTGTGATTCATGTCGTTAGTTCCTTTACTGATGTGCTTTATTCGTGCTCGTGTACCATGTACTGGTAATTACAGTCAGACAGTGCATTATGCTGCACAAAATTGCCTAATGGGTAAAACCTCAGTACACCGGACACCCCTCTAAACCGGACATTTCCTCCGGTCCCAAGGGCGTCCGGTTTTGAGGGGTTCCACTGTATAGGTGGTTTGCACGTTACGTCATCGCCGCCATGTTGGTGGACGTAAACAATAGATATCTCACTTGCTTCTTTTGTTGGTCCACCAGCATTTGTTCCTTTCACCTTTGTTACCTGTGTCTCTAGAGATTGGTTGCAAACCACCTATACCTTTGTAAAAATTAATTTGTAAAATGTGAATTTTAGGTAGAACAAGGTAACATTTGGTGCTGTCGCTGATAGGCCTCCTTTTCAGTTCATTCTACCAATTTTTACAATGTTTCGCTAAAGAACTTGACTGGAATTTCTCAGCACAAACTTTGATCTAATATCACTCGAATTCAATTTTTTTTTACAGTCTTCTCCAGCTCATAATTTCTTGTTGTCTAGAATTCAATTATTTTCTCCTCACTCTACTCCGATTCAAATTCGATAAATCTTTACTCGCTTATTCACCTAAGCATTGTTCATTACTTGTCTTGTCAGCGGTCAGATCTTCACTAAGTGTTCTCATTATGCCCTCCAGCAAAACTTGTGATGTAACGTTCAGCTGATAGAAAGTCTGGCCAAGAGTGAAGCTTGAGGTACGACAACAGAAACAAGCAGGTGGAAAATATCCGGTTGTGGTAATGTCAGTGTGTGTGAGGATAACGAGAGTAATAGTGCAGTAGGTTTTTTACCTACTTGAAGTATAGTTTTGTTCCAGAGTTCGTTTTACTGTTTAGAGTATACTCCACCTCGACCTTGAAGAATTCTTGTGCCTTTCAATTGTTGCTCACTATTATAGCTTAACAGTACGTTCGGGCCGATCGTCTCAGTTTCAAGCTCCATAATCAAATTAACCATTTTATGAAATCACCTTAACGAAACCGATCTTGGCTAGCTCCAGTCATCTTGAAAATCGCCATATCTCTCTGGAGTTTCAAGTCTTGCACACTGACTACATCCTTCGTCTCCCTCATGTATGCTATCACCATCTTCCAAGATGATTCTTGTGCAGTACACGTGGTTCTGTTTGCACCGCTTCCACGCACCTCTGTTAAAACCCGGAAAGTTCTCGAGGTGAGTTGAATCTGCGAGAGGGAATGGTGGCAGATCTACTTCCTTCCTCAACAAATCGACCATTCGTTCAAGCTTGTCGAGATCAAGAGCATCGTCTTGGCCTTGAAGAAACGAATTAAAACTAGCGTGAACCGACCGCAGTCGTAATTCACCCATTCCTGAAAAAGACCTATGGTTCCTAATGGCCATCCTTTGAGCGTCCAAAATCAAGGAGAAAAGGAAGAATTTTCTTGTGTGATCATACACTTGCTTTAGAGTTTTTAAATCTATTTGAGGTTTCTTCAGGTACTTTTCGATCTCTTTCAAGCCATTTATGGATGTCAGGGCAAGTTCCTTTAAATCATTCTGATGCATCGTTTCTTTGTCACTTGTCAAACCTTGCAAAAGATGTTTTGCCTTTCCAGCGATATGCATAATTTGAAAGTGATTATTAAGTGTAAACAGTAGTGGAATTGCTCTACCAGGTGCGTGACGCCAGTCTTCGTAATCGTAGACGACCTTGCGAAGGAGTTCTTGCGGAAACTTCATCTCCATTACATTTTTGGTGGTGATACCATCATCTCCTAAAAAGTTGTTTGCAGTGGTGGCAGCTACATTTGCGAGCTCTAGTACTTGTTTTTTCACAGTTTCAACATTCCTTAGTGTCCTTTTGATGACATTACCATAACGGTAGCTGAATGTTATTGGCGTAGAACATCTGGGACATCTAATGAGCTGAACATCACTGTCCTGTTCACGCTGTACCCATGCGTCCATTTTCTCAACTGTAATGATATGACTGCAGTCAAGCAGTTGCAAGTACCTTGTGGCCTCCCTTTGTTTGTCCTGTCCATCAGCTAATATGGAAGCGAGCTTTTTAGCATGGCATATAGCACAGACTGTGGGACAGTTTTCTCCACACAATCCAATACACGGATGACGGCAAGGGAGCTTCTTAGGGCATGGAGCATCACATGGGGGGCGATTACACTCCTCTCCACATAGATTGTCACACTGGTAATGGTTACATCTCCATTCGCATGGTTCTCTGCAGCTTTCACATAGCTGTGAACATCTTTTGGCACATTCTCCATGAGGGCAGCGTCTGCGGCAGAACCTTTCACAAGGAGGGCAAGGCTCACTGCGCACACGATTACAACGATGTGAACAGACGAGGATTCGACCGCACGGACGTTGACATAATTCATGAGTGCCGCTTTTTTGACACTCCTGACATGTCTCAGAGCACCTGTGACCACAAGGCAATGTTGCTTCACACGTTGAGAGGCATTCTACATCGTTTTCAGACTGGTGACAAGGCAATTTGATCTTGTGACCACATCGACGGGTTTTAACAACAGGTACATCACAAGGATATTTTGAACAGTCTTGACCGCATATCCCTTTACAGACATGTCCACATGATTTTATTCGTCGTTGACAGCGTGCTTTGCATATGGCCTCTTTGCTTTGAAAACACCTAAGCGATTCTTTGTGACCACAAGGAAATTCCTTCACCACTTTTCGAATGCACCTCATACGCTCGCAGTTTTCACTGCAAATTCCTGGACATTGGTGACCACAATCTAGTTTTCTGTTACATTGTTCCTTGCATATCACTGATTTTGGATCTTCGCTGCAGATCATTCTTGCAGAGTGCTTACCCGCACAATCTATGGGCTTGACTACCGATTTCATGCAGATATACTGACACGAACCCTCTGAGCATTTACCGGGGCATTTGTGTCCGCAAGGCAAAATCCGCTCACATTCATTTAGACATGTCATCTGGGAAACATCATCCGAACAACGACAACTTACTTTATGGAATCCACAGGGTAAATCCTTTTGGACTGTAATGAAACATTTAAAGCTGGCGCAGTCATTGCCACATCGTTTGGCACAGGTGTGCTTGCACGGAAGGAGACGCTCACAAGGAGCATTACAAAATACATTATCTGGTTCATCTGAGCAAAACATCTCGTTTTCATGTCCGCAAGGAAGTTTTCTCGTCACTCTCTCACTGCATGATTTATCGTGCAACTCACCTCTCCATTTGAAGCATGCTGTGAACTTCTTGTGTCCACAGGGAAGGGTAATCTCAGTTTCAACTTGGCAGCAGTGCTCTTCAAGCTTTAAGTAACAAGGTATGGTTGCCTCGTGTTCACATGGTAGTTTCACTTTCATCTTATACATACAACGAACAGTTTCTAGGCCTGCCGCTACTTCGAAGCACTGGAGAGACTTTTTGTGTCCACATGACAATTGCACGTCGACTTTCTTCTTGCACTTGCACTCTTCTGGACGTTTGTGACATGGAAGGGTAAGTTTGTGTTTGCAAGGCAGTTCTTTATCGACTAATTCGTTACATTTTGCGTTATTGGCACCAACACTTGCAACATGGCAACTCAGTAACGTCTTGTGTCCACATGAAAGTTGAACCTCAACTTTCTCCTTGCAAATGTACCTCTCTGGATTCTTGTGACACCTTAAGGTCGCTTCGTGTCCACAAGGTAAGGTTATGGTAACGAGCTCTTGGCATGGCTCAGCTTCACATTCCTCGCCACAAATACGTTTGCACGAATGACCACAAGATTTACTTTTTTCGCAAGGCTTTTCACATCTTAGTGAAGATGGATCTACGTGACAGCCCGTCTCAATGCTATGTGCACATTTTGGGATTTTTACATCAACCTTAACTATGCAATCAGGACACGAAGAACCAAAATGACAGCGTTCTGGACATGCGTGGCCTCTCTCACACTTCATTTGACACGACTCTTCACATAAGACCTCGTCGCAGACTCGGCCACACACAGATGGGCACTTGTGTCCACAGTTCAATTCTCTTTGACAACGAGCGTAACAAAAAGCCTTGTCGGGATTAAAGTGGCAAGCAATACTTTGGTGATGCCCGCATGGAAGAGTTTTGAAGACTTCTGTTTTACATTTTTGAGTTTCACAGTCCTCAAAGCACATTCCAGGGCAGATGTGTCCGCAGCTCAATTCTTTTGAACATTGTTTCTTGCAAGGTGGTGGTTTGTCTTTTTTTGTACATAACATAAGCTTTTTATGGCCACACTTAAGGTCTACCTCAACTTCTGTATTACATTTGCAGGGCTCCTTGCACTTTTTTGAACAAGGGTGACCACATTCGAGAACTTTTGTACAACTGCTAGTACACCTGGTATCTATGGGATCTTTGAAACAGGGCAGATATTTTTCGTGGCCACAGGAGAGGACTTTCTTGCAACTGAATTTACAAAGCCGCGTGCATGGATTCCCACATAAATCTTGACAGTTGTGTCCACATGGCAGAATTTTCTCACATTTTTCTTTGCAGGAAAAATTTTCGGGGTCAGTCTGACATGGAACATCTTGTTCGTGACCACACTGCGGCAACCTCTTCAACATAGGTACATAACATTTAGGACATTTCGAGTGATGATGACATTTATGTAGGCATCGGTGTCCATTTGAACAGCATATCATCAAGCATTGTTTTGAGCACGTGCTCTTTTCGTGATAATAATCTTCAGCATGACATGGCTTTTCACATGCGTGACCACAAGCAAGACGGACTCCGCAGAAGTCTTTGCATCCTCCAAGTGGATTAAAGTCAATTGAGGTTCGTGCTTCCGTGACATTTTGGTGTCTCCTGCAGATAAATTGTAGTTTATCTCCAATCGCTTCTTTTGCTTCTAAATCAGTACATATCTCCTTCCAGAGACTGCAACGACTTCTCAACAACTTGAAGTTTCCTATGCAGTAAAATCCTTGGCGAGCTCGAGATAATGCCACACATATTCTGTTAGACTCATTCAAGAAACCAATTCGACCTTCCAAGTTGCTTCTCACTAACGATAGAAGGATGATGTCGTTTTCTTCTCCTTGATAGTTATCCACTGCACAGACCCTGACTCCCTCAAAAAATCTTTTAGGCATATTTTGTTGAAGAAGGAGTAATTGACCAATGTACATGGTTAAAATAGTAATTCGATTGGGATGATAACCTTGAAGGAGAAGATAATTGCAGAGTGCTATCAAAAAGGAAGCTTCATGAGGGTTAGAGTAACTTTGGAGACCTTCCACCGGAACTTCGTGCACACTATGATCAATAAAGAAGAGATTCCGAGTAAGGCCGAATATGTCCTCAAACTGATCCACTGTCTCGTGGTCCACAATTTCATGATCATAGATCCTTTTGGTCAGAGCAGCTATCTCGGGGCGCATGCGGTGCTGTATGGACAAACGCTTGCAATCCATACTGTTCATTACCATCCTTTCGAACAAGGATATTTCCAGATTGTATTTCTGGGCTAGCTCGTAGACTGTCGCTTTCGGACGGAGCTGCTTATGGTCTCCGATTAGAATCGTATGCTTTGTGTTGTGTGACAGAGACGTGATGATGTGTGCTTCCATTACTTCTGCAGCTTCTTCGATGACGACGATTTTTGGGGCAATTCGTTGAAGTACTGAGTGATATCTTGCGGCACCAGTGGTCGTCATGCCAATAACAGTTGCACGGCCCAGAATTTTTTTGTCTTCATCGAATTTCATTGCTTCTATATCTAGGCAAAGTTGTTCATACTCCTGTTCACTTCTCTGGAGTTCCACTCTGTAACGTTCGCGAAAGCTCTCCACCCAAAAAAGATATAATCGAAGTCGACGCGAGTAGGATAAAGACCAGATGTTTTTGATGTTGTGAGCCTCAGTCGTTGTCATGGTAACTTCCTTTTTCAGAGCCTCTTTTACTGATTGAATCTCTTTTTCATTTGCCGTAAAATCGGTTTTCTTGGTTGTATTTCCGCTTCTAACTTTACCGTTGTCTGTTTGGTTCCATGGAGTCATCCCCCGCTTATTCCTGAAGGGCACAGGTATCCATCCTTCGTTGTTTTCCAATCCCGTGTCTTCGTGTCCTTGTGTGCAGCCAATTGATGGCTTATCAGAAACTGTTCCCATTACCGGGGAAAAGATTTCATCTCCTTGTATTCGTCTCTGATTTTGAATTCGATCAGCTTCCTTTTCTACGGCAATTGTCTCCTCGAGAGAGTTATTTATTCCATTCACTTCGTCACAGCTGGTTTCTTCCAAGATTTGATTTCTTCGTAACGGTGTGATATTTTCGGCGTTTTCTACGCTACCTGCCTTTTCAGATACTGCGTGATGAGATCCATGCTCAACATATTTTCTACTGCTTAGCTGGTTCTGAGGGCTTTCTGAATTTAGATACCATTTCTTACTGAGGTCCTCTTCATAAAATTTGTTTTCTGATGGCAGCTGGCTATCAGTCGTGTTTTCCTTTGTTCCCTTCAGTTCTGTCGACCAAGTGGTATAATACGACACCTCATCTTTTTCAAGAGCATGATTCCCATAGAGTAAATGCTGGTCTTGGAGACTTTCTTCCTGTTCCTTTCTTTCTGGTTCCGAACTTTGGTTCAACTGGTCCAATTCCCTGTTTTTACACAACCACAGCGTGAGGGTGTTTCCTGGTGTTTGACAGTTGCCAGCAGCTTTAGATGGAAAGATAGCAGTGTAGAACTGTTCAGCATGTTCAAAATTTATATGTTCCTCTAAATGATCGAATTCCAAGAGTCCAGAGTCTGCTTTTTCGAGAAATTTTTTACATTTGTTGGTTTCCTTGATTTTCCAATGCTTCCTCTTCTGCAATGTTCTTCTTTGCTTTTCATCCATTCTATTTCCATTGCAAAATATCCTCAGGTTGCACTCTTCGAGTTGTTGACTCTTGCATCTTCCTCCAACACGAATGATTTTCCTCTTGGGAAGAAATTCCAATACTTTTTCCAGGAACTGATCTAAAGCATGGTTTGTGTAACAGACCATGAGCATCGGTGAAGTTCTTTCTGGGTCCCATGCCTCTCGATTCTCAACTAAACATCGAACAATTTTGGCTCCGACATACGTCTTGCCGGTTCCTGGAGGGCCCTGGATTACACAGAATTCAGTTGTTAGTGCTGTTTTCAATGCTTCAAACTGAGACTCGTTGAGAGGAAGTTTCTTAACAGAAGGCCAAGCTTCTGACTGCAGAACAGGCACACTGAAGGCGCTAGCTTCATTTGGGACATCTAATGCCTCACTAAGGTTGTAGCATATCGGGTCTTGGGTAACCTCGCAACTTAGGTACTCCGGAGGACTAACATCTGTACTACATTCAACCAGATATTTTTTGAAAGGCAAAGTGGTTTCATTAATTTCCTTTAACCCCCGAAGAACATGACGATAGGCTTCAAAATAAGCTGGTGACTCAACCATTTGGTACTCGCCCTTCCGGTTTTCTATTCCAAAAATATCTTGCTCCTCCATGAAACGAATTTCTATTTTACCTCTTGCCAGCTCTTCAGCATTCCGATTGGCAACCATGGCAAAAAGCATAGTTTTAAACTCATCTTTGGAAAGACAAAGGAATGAGCCATACATGAGTCGTTTTGAATTTGCCCATCTTCTGGTATTGAACTTGGAAACGTCAAATTGTATGTGATAGATAACACCGGATTGTGTGAACGTTTTATCAACGATTCGTGCTCCTGGATAACACTTAATTAACTGGTTTTTCTGTCTTCTCGGTACATTTTTAACAATCTCTTGGATTCCTTCTCTCAATGGTTCAAGGAAATCCTCTCTAAGCAATCGAAATTGTACATCGAGGTAGTGCTCGGCATCGTCGTACCTCCCCTTGGTGACGTTCTTTCGCAGGAAAGGCCGTTCATTAGATCTTAATTCTTCGTTCGTGGGACAAATTGGTATATCCCTAAAATCGTTTGGCGGTTTGTGACCAGCTTTGTCGATGTAACGCCGTCCGTGTCTCTGGTTTTCCCCTATTATTATGTCATCTCGGGCTCTCTTGAGGTCCTTCAGCTCATTCTCTATCTCACCTTTTCTGTCGATGTTCCACGCGTCAAAAGCTCTTTTTAATTGTTCATAAGGTATGTCTGCATAAGAACTTTGAAACTGCATCAAGAACTTTGTAAATATTTTGATCAGCCACTGAATTAGTCTTTCTTGTGATGTTTGGTCACCTGAAATTACCGGACCTACAGATCGATCTAAGAGGCTTGGAATCTTTAATTTTAGGAAAATGGAACCTTTCAGTGTAGATAGGATATTGTTTCTTTTCTCACCTGCCGGTGCGTTGCAGACAATTGCGAGTACACAAGTAAGGTCCATGATGAATTCATTGCTGTTATGCTGCTTCTCTTTGGATCGTAAAAGCAACTTGAAACGATCTATATTCTCGTTCAGCTTGTGGACGACATCATAGCTACTCATTTCTTTCAACGATTTTAGGTCGAAGACACTCTTCATAGGGAAAACACCGCGAGGACGTACCTGTGGTTTTTGTGAACGAACTTCCTGATTCGCTTGGAAAGGTTTTCCGGCCTGTTGCTTTTGGTTTTTGTCTGTATTGTAAGATAATAATTCCAAGATAAGCATGTTTTTCTTCCTTTGTAACGTTTTACAAGAGTAAAGCGAACAGGTAATGAGAAGCATATTGCAGAAATCATTTGGCTTTTGATCACTTAAAGACGTGGCCCTGATAAGCTTTCGTAAACGTGTTTCTCGTAATCTATGAAATTGTCTTTTCATAATGAAATTGTGTAGATCAACTCACTCATAACCCAATAACAGTAAAGAATGGCCCAACTGTTCGCAAATGGTGTAGTGGAGGAGTAACCCTGTGGACTTCTCCCTCTTAGTAGAATTTTGTATCTAAAGTAATTGTTTATGTCGTGGTTTTGGTTACCTGGAGGATCGGGACGAGCCGTAGTACTGCACGGCGCCCAGCTTCCATTTGGAGGCTGAGTAGCTGCTGCTGTCTTTTTTCGTGCACCACCTTGACATAGCTCCTCTGTAACTTCAGTATCTACAAACATCGCAACAAGAACTTTGTCAAATTATTAACCCAAAGCCTCTAGCTTTGACCATGAGGGCTATGTCTAGTTATGTCAAGTTATGTCAAGTCCATGTCTGGATGGAAGCTCTTCAGCCTAATGAATCAAGCTATTCCATGCAGATAAAGACAGCGTATGGTTTTAAAGTTAACACGAGTGTGAACACGAGCGTTAAAATCCCGTAAACCGTTGGATGTGCATTTTTTAGATTGGTTTTTAATCTCCCCTCTTTAACCTTTAAGAGGCGGGACTTGGACTTGGTGCTAGATTTTGGTATTAACCATTTGGATAGCACGACCCAACATTTTCCAAAGTAGATTTAATAAAGTTTTATCTCAAGGGTATCCATTGCCTTACAATGTCAGCGTAGACCACCTACCTGGAAGATCTTTTTCTCTGCCATGACGACGTTTGTCAAATCTGCTCCTTCTACCTTCCGGATGCTTTCTCCCATACCGGCCTCTGTGATCCTGCTTGTGATGTGCGCTTTTATCGTCTTACAAAAAGAAAGTATACATTCATGTATACCCTCAAAGGCTTAACGAGTGATCAACAGTTGAAAAATAAAATCTCTAACCTTTGCCAGAGCATCACTTTTTTTCTTACGTAACTGGACATGAGGACAGATTCTTTTTGAAATAACCCCATATAGACGTTTTTTCTGAAAAGGGAAGCAATTACCTAACAATCGCGTATCCTTGTCTTGGTCAAAACATTTTGTGTCAACTGTTCCGCTCTCCACAAATAGTGATCATAAGCCACGGGTTTTAAGACTTTTAGTAACTACTACTTGGAGTATGTCACAAATCGTAGAACGCGAAGTTCTCAAATGCTTAACATACCTCGCTTTAGAACAGCAAGTGGCCAAAGGACTCTTTTCTATAGAGCAGTTACTTTATGGAATTCCTTATCTAACGCTCTTAAACTTTGTGAATCGGTTAATGTGTTTAAACGCCGCCTTAGGTCTCGCCTCTTAAGTAACCTTAGCACTTCCGCTATTTAAACACCGCCTTAGGTCTCGCCTCTTAAGTAACCTTAACACTTCCGCTATTTAAACGCCGCCTTAGGTCTCGCCTCTTACGTAACCTTAGCACTTCCGCTATTTAAGTCATTGCTCTATTTTAAGTCTGATATATAATTTTAGCTTAATTGTATAATTAATTTTTACCTTAATTATATTGCCTCTGAAAATCCTCTTTGGGGAAGTGGTAATAAAGTATGTATGTATTTCATCTTTAGCATTTTAGTGCGTAAAATCTTATTTTTTTCACCTGATATTTCATCAGCAGATGTTCCACAAGCACCTTTGTTTGACTCAGACTCCTCAGGACCTTCTGCTTTTGCTGAAGACTTGGCTTGTCCTTCCTCTTTGCGCTTTGACGTTTCATCAGATTCTGCAATGTAAGCAGTAAGTTACATTCCACTCAAGTTTAATTGTTTGTCACGATGGGTGATACAAAAAGGTTAAAGTCAGCGTACATAGTACAGTTCGAACTTGCATGTATCTTTAATTCACTGGTTGCAAGTATTTCCAACTACGAAATTACACCTCCATCAAATTTTCGTTCATTCGTCGAACTCACTTTGCCAAGAGCGGCTGGAAACTAGCCAATCGTTTCGATGATATCTCACATTTAGATTATATCAAGAATCAACGATTCTTTCATTTTTAAGCTGTAGCAAAGGCAAGGGGACGGAAAATATGTACTCAGACTTAACAAATTTTAATGAAAGACGACAAAAACGAGAAACATATCCTCAAAAGGAACTGCCAGGTAATTTCAAAATGAATGATATGAAAAATATTATGAATACCTTTCGATTCTTCCCGTTGTCGTTCATGTTTGTTGAATTTTTTCGCCCATTTGGATTTCTTGGAGGGCATGGTCCTAGAGAGAAAAGTTCAATTGTAACTGAGTCACTATTTATTTATTCATTCAGTTTCCTTTTTTTATTTATTTATTTTATTATTTATTTAACAATTTGCAAAAGGCAGGTAAATTTACGATAGTTCAAGGTTGTCTCCTACTAGGTAAATTACCTTACCCTATCCCCTAAAAGCAGACAAAATTGAAACCCAACCTGCTTACAAGCCCCCATGCTAAAAAAAACAGTTGGTTAACATGTACAAGAATTAAGAGCATTGAAACGACGACATTTTACCCAAGCTAATTTAAAGGAACGGATGTCGTCTTGATTGAGAACTTTGCTAAGTCTTAGATGAAAGAAAGATTTTAGTTTTTTGAAGAAAGACGGTAGTTCCGTTTCTGCTCTTATGTTATCTGGTAAGGCGTTCCATATGTTACAGATTCTTACAAAAAAGGAATTTCTATAGAGTGAGGTTTTAGCTTTCTTATTTTTGATAAAAAGACCAGAGGGGCCACGGCGCGAGCGCCCACTACAAAACTTAGAGGTCGTTTCTTTTCAGATCAATTAAACCTAATTTTCATTTAAAGAAAAAGACAATGTCTAGATATTTCAGCCAATAGTCCAGGGGACGTAAGTTCAGTTCTAATTGACGTTCCATGTAAGAGAGGCCAGGGTCTTTGCATATGAATCGTGTGGCTCTGCGCTGGATGTTTTCGATCTCGACTATTAATGTGGGAGATTGGGGAGCCCACATTTGAGACGCATAGCAGAGAAGTGATCTTACCAGTTGTAGATACAGGGTCTTCATAAGGTCTCTTTTGAGGTCTCTTATACAGTTACCTTTAATAAAACCCATCATGCAACTGGCTTTTGCAACAGCTGAAGATATATAGTCTGTCCATTTCAGCTCATTACTTACAATAACGTTCTTTACAAAGTTGAAACATGTGTAGAGCTCCGGTCCAAATAGGTTTTAGTAGTAGCAATGGGACTACTGGCCAATCGCTTGATGCTGGGGGATCGCTTAAAACTTGTCGCTTTCTAAACCAAATTAAAATCATGATCACTGCTAAAAGCTTGAGAGCGTGAAAAAAGTAAGGATCCTTGGGAAGATTTAAACACTCTAGAAATTATACCAATTTGTGGTTCTCACGAACATGTTGCCTGTTTTGTTGTCAATGTAAACTGTATACAGATGTTTTAGTTTCCTGTGGATTTGCAGACCGCAGAAGCTGCAGATCCTGTATTCTCCTTTGAAAGTTTGTTTTTGAACATAGAAAAGAGAACGTATGAAAATATAGCAGTTTTTGAGAACTACTTTTATCGTGCTTGACTACAAGCGAGAAATACCTCATCCACTCAGACACTTCTACAGCATTCCTGCTCAAGGGATGTACCTGATCAACTGGGAGAGTCATAAACGGTTTAGATTTAACGTTACAGCATTTTGCCGTTGCCATTTGAAGATTATGGGGAAGGGGACAGTAAATTTGGGGAATACGAGATAACCTGTCTGAGTCCCGGCATATGTTTTATATTCACAGCAGCGAACACCAAGTAAATGTATCAATGTTCTCATGGCGGCTTGTGCATAATTTGTATTTAATTTGGTCGCTTTATCAGCTCATTACATTTGTTTGTTCATCGTCCAAATGAGATTCATCAAGTGGTACTTCTTCAAGTGACAAATTAGGATACCGATGTTTTAAGTATTTGTATTGCTGTTTTTTTTTTCTGTAATATTTGTTTTAGTGATTATGAGCAATAACACTATTGAGTCGTGACCTCTACTTTAATTTTCGCAATCCATGTATTAAGAATATGTTTCCGTTATGTGCTCCGATTAAAAACCCTGGTTACCAAACACATTGAAGCAGTCCATCGACTCAACGGTGCCGTCAATCCCGAATAATTGCGCTATATTAGTTCAGCGCACTTTGCATCCGTCATCCTACTGATTTCTCTACCACGGTACGGAGATTTGGTTGGTTTTTAAAACAAACAGCGACGAGGTTGACAGCGTAACTTCTAAGTGCCTCAAATACAAATTTGCTATCAGGCCAATAATAAGAAAATTCACTCGTAACGTTGTTTATGCAATTCTTTAAATGATAATGTTTCCGATTTCATGTAAGTAGATTTTCTTATTTCCAATCAAGTTGAGCAAGTGAGGCAGGAGACATTAATTACTCAATTCATATGCGTTGCACTATTGCACAGTATTTTTCCAGTCCAGCTGGAACTGATACAAAGTTCCTATTCGTGGCAAAAATCTTGACAGTTTTTAGTCCTAAAAAAATTTCGAGTTCTCCTCTTTAAAAATGTTATGTTGACGAATTTATACCCTTTGACAAAGAGTTGAACGAAGAGCCAAACTCCGTGTTCATAATTCTTCCAGGAGTATTGTCCAGCCAAGCGGAAATAGCTAAGGAAGAATACTCGTAACTTTCTTGCGATTGATTTTGAGATATAATAGCAGGTAAGTTTTGGAATAAAATGAAGGAAATAAGTTTCAAAAGTTGCTACCTTTATGCAAGTTGTTAGGGCAGTTGTGTAACATGGTGTTTGTAGTACTATGTTGATCGAATTTTTCGCGATACTCTTACATGCGATCTCATCGCCTTCATGTGTAGAATATTGAAAACAATCGACGTTGCAGCACATTTTAATTCAGTGCATGAGTACTTAAGGATTTAGATCATAAATTGCTCCTTGTAGTTCGAGGATTACGGATTAGTTCAAGATATTTAATCTTGGGGCGTGTGGATTTAATTCTGATTTGCCATTCACGATTCTCAGATGTTATGTCCTTTGAAGCAATTCTGTGGACAGTCAGCCATTGAGGGCTTATCATGTTTACTTTCATGACTTACTCGTCATAGCTGCTACAATGAGATCATAATCGCTACAACAATTTGTCTTCGTTTTGTGTAATTACGATAAAAGAGTTTGTATAGCCTGCGAATGTCACTTCATCCACTGACATCTACGCATAAATTTGTAAAACGCAACATCATAGAGCACAAAAAGAATTTTGTTTTCCCTTACCGTGCTATGGCAGTGCAATTTAACCCAACACCACTGCTACGTTTCACAAGAATACACTGTTTCGACCAAACACTCTCTATGAGAAATCATTATCCCGAATGTTTTCGTGAAACACAATCAAAACCGCAAGATTCCTAGAAAAAAAATTGTTTTGTCTAGAAAGTATTTTTTTCTCAGAAAAGCTGTCATGATAGGGTTGACTGGACATTGGATTCAGAGACACTGGACAGTGGAATGCCAATCAAACGGTGAACGTGATCTGCTTGTAAAGGCCATGCTTGTAACAGGCAGTCAGGTACCCCACTTAACTGTGTTGTCTCATACCCAGTAATATTCATCACAGCATCTCTAAGGCCCGGTTCAAACGTCGAATTTCACATGTGCCGAACTTAATGCGAGAGTTAAAAGCATGTGAAGTGCGACGTCTGAATCAATTAAATTCGACTGTTTCAAATTAAATGCGACTTTCGCCGTATCTGCGACTGAAACAGTCGAAGGTTCGACTCTGTTTCGACTTTTGATTCAAACGTCACATCTCTCATGTGCCGAACTTAATGCATGGATTATAGGAAATTATTGTGATTCATTTATTATCGACAACTCGCCAGGAATTCTGTGAATGCCATGCGCGAGAAAGCCAAAACAGCACAAAAAATGGTGCTAGACGAAGGAATTTGTAGTTCTTGCTTTGCAAAGACAAAATATAGTTGTTTGACGTGCGGTAATTACTTTTGTATGAGGTGTTCGGTTATTGAAAACGAAGAGGGCACTCCTGAGTGGAAAATAGGAAAATATGTGGCATATTGTGGGTCGTGTTTTACTGAAAGATGGAACGTGAATCAAGTCAAAGTATCATGACGAAAAGCCAAGATGACGAAGCAAAAACAAACAGCAAAACAAAAGCATCAGTGAAGCAATTAAGCAAATGCTCAATAGACGTCTTCGTCTAGCAAATAAGTAGTGCACCCGGAAATACTGACAGAGAGCGGAGTTAAATTCGACAAAGTTAAATTCGACGTTTAAATCAAATTCCGTATTTAACTATTTTAGTGGAGTAAAACAGGAGTTAAGTTCGGCACATGTGAAATTCGACGTTTGAACTGGGCCTAAATTAACTCTTATGTAAATATAGACCTTGTCTACTTTGTGAAAACTTCCATCAAACATACAGTTTTAGTGCTTTGTATGTGATGTGAAAGCTAACATTCAAATTTTTTTATTTCTTAGTATAAATGTAATTCCCAATGTCTGCAATCATCATTCAAGAAAGAATTGCAAAGAATCACTTAACTTGGAACCAAGCGTATCTTAAACTTGAGAGCATCAAATAATTACAGTGTAATGAACACCAAGTGCAATAGGCCTCAACTATCAAATAATAAAGATCTATTTTTTTGGAAAGTTTCTTCAGCCGAAAAACTTTTGTACATTTCTTTTTTTTAAGAAAACATTTAAGATAATGTGACAACTGAATAATATAGAGAATACTGGACGATGTAACTAAGATAATATATAAAAATTGAAAAGCAGTAATCCAATGCAGTGCTGGAATAACTTTCCGCATTGTTCATCGTCAGTCCGTCATTTCATTTATGTAATTTATAAAAAGTCGTTACCAGCATCAAAATAAAACATTTCCAAATTCACATACCAATGCTCCTTTTAAACTAGAGCAGCCTACTTGTGGCGCACATTTAGCAAAATAGGAAATGCCAACTTCATCTTCCAACTTTAAGCTAGTGAAGCAGGGATTTTAATTTCTTCAAAACAATTGATGCGAAGTATTTTACAAACCCATCTGGAATTGTCACAAAGTTTTAATTGGCAACTACAATCTTTCTAGTTTGAATTCCAAGATTTTCGAGTAATCTGAACTAAAAACATTATGATGGCATGTATATTTACCCTGATATAGATGATATAAAGAGTTAGACCCTCATGTTTATTATTTTTCCTTGGGCATAGTCCAGCTAGGCGGAAATAACTATAGGAAAATAATCACAACTTTTTTGCCACTGGTCAATTGGATATCGACTCAAGCATGAATGAAAGGTTTGAAACTCAAGATGTTCCAAGTTAAGTTAAGTTGAGGAATACAATGAAAGAAAAAAAATTTAAATGTTGCTTCTTAAGTGCAAGTTGTTAGGCAGTTGTGTAATATTCTACAGCCATAGAATGTTAATCAAAATTTTCGGAGTGCGATTGTCTTTATTCATACAGTGTTGAAAGCAGTCGAAATTACAGCAGATTTGACTTCAGCGTGCGCTTAAGGATTGAAAACATGAATCGACCAACAGTAATCGCTCCTTGAGGTTCGACGATTACGGATTAGTTTAATAGACTTGTACTTGGAGCTGTTGGTTTCACTTCTGGTTAACCATTCAAGATTCTCAAGTGTTATGATCAGTTTTGAAGGCACTTTTTATAATTTAATATTGTGTGTAAACGTTCTAGGGTTGTCAACGATCGATCATTGAGGGCTAATCATGTTTTCCTTCATGACTGACATTTTGTATTTGCCATGCCCGCACAATTTGTATTCGTGTTGTGAACCACACAACGAGCAGTATGAAACCGGTTTGGTTTTTGTCGAATTACGATATTAAAATTTCGGTGGCCTCCAAATAGTACTTCCTTCATTGAAATCTACGCAAAAATGTGTGAAATGCAACATTAAAGAGCACAAAACACATTGTTTTCACTTACCAGGTAATACACCAGCCTTTCCAAGTCTAATCTAGAACCCTGCTTCAGCTTCTTTCACGGGAATACAGTGTTTCAGTAAAGCAGTATTTCTCAGAAATCAATATAAAAAATGTTCTAAGGAAACCTTGCGAAACCGCAAGATTCTGAGAAAAAATTTTTTTTTTTTAGCAATCAACATTTTCTCGGAAAGTGAAAGCGTAGAAAATTAGAATGGACTTTGGAGTCATGGATGCTGAACATTGGAATGCCTTCTGCATGGTAAACATGATCTGCCTGAAAAGGCTCTCACAGCCAGTCAGGTTATTCCATTTTCCTCAGAGGTCTTTTTTTTTTCTGATCGCGTGCCCTACTTAACCGTGTTTCCTGAAATTTTGATAAAACTGATGTCATCACTTGCTAATATGACAGTTCACAGCGACCACTTCTGAGCATTCCGGCAGATAGCTTACTGGTGTTTTCCTCTATCTAATTTCAAATTTTCTTCATTTCAAAATACATCTAACATAAACTATCGGGCAGCGTCGTGTAGGTTTTTTGGATTAATGACGGGGAATTCAGAATGATGACGATGGTTCACATGAAACACACGGTAACACACTCTAAACAGGTCACTGGCCAAGTATACCCTCCTTAAGGTGGCTCAACACAGTTTTCGCGCGCGCTTTTGCTGATGCAATTCAACACGCGCACAAGGATTGCAAAAAACAAACATGCCGTCAATAGAGCAGTCATTTTATTTACTCAGCGCATACCCGCACTGTCTGTGTTATTTTTTTCTCAATAGTTGGCGCAGTGTATTGATAGCTTTTATCATTTATTACAAAGACATATCAGAAAAGTTAAAGATGCAAAGACCTCAGCTTTTCCGTCGTTACCGAGAACCCAATTAAATTCAGCGCATGCGTAGTAAGTAAAAGAATTGCGATTGAATGGAAAATTGGTTTCTCGGAGATATGCCTAGTTCTTGAGAACCACTCATTAGAATTTCACGAAATTTGGCACGAAAATACTTTAGGAAATAAGTAACTGGGGTATTGAAAAAAATGATTTTTAACAAAGGAAATTCGAGATGATCGACTGAATCTTCAAAAAGAGATAATTAAAGATCTCTCTGTGAAATTGTTCGCAAAATGGTGTTAGCTTGTGAGTATAGTTACAAGCTCGTTGCATGCAAATTATAAAGAAAATCTAATCACCGGATTTTCTGAAAATAAAAAAACCGATTTTAAAGGCCTGTTTATATTTATTCTTGTCGCCATGGAAACGGCACAGACGTCAGCTTAACTATCAAAAAAACAACGTTTGTGTTGTTAACTTGCTTGCTGCCAGTTTTGGCGACCAAGAGATCTAGAGTTTTAGAGAAAATGGCGAAAGAAACACAGGTATCAAAAACTGTGTTCAGCCACCTTAACCAAGTGTAAACGTGTAGGCAAAACAAAGGTCAAGAGAAGCTGTTTTTCTGGAAATGTCACCTTAGTGTTTTTGTAGCTAATGAAAGGCTAAATTGTCAGAAAAAGTTATATTTTTTGGAAATTAACATTTCCAAATTAACTCGTAAGGGCTGACATGAAAAGTTTATGGAATCAACGGGAATTGCCGACGACATATGGTGACCACGAGGTACCAGTTGAGGATCCCCTTAAACAATTGCTTTGTAGACCAGACCAGACCCTATCGCTTTCCTTTTCTTGGGGCCAATATATAAATAGCTTGAGTTATATTTGACCATCTTTTGCTCTTTGAAATATTCGTCTTTCTGGCAAAGAAAAAAAATTTCGTTTTGGTGCGAAAGCGTGGAATTGTCTCCCATCTCAAGTATATAATCTACCAAAACTGGCGTTCAAGAAATCAATTCGCAAAGCTTTATTCGCAGCTCTAGAAGGCGAGGAGGATTATATTAAAGCACCTAATTTACTATCCAAAATTAATTCATATTTACCATAACTTTTTGTAACTATTCATTGTTAATGTCTTCACCTGTTTAGTAGAATTTGTTTAGTTTATTAAGCTACCTATTACACTAATCAATTCTGTAACCATTTTTATCCCTGGATGCAAATTATTGTAAGTCATTTAATTTATTCCTGTTACAGTTCATAGTCTGTTATTTGAAGCTTACAACTTGACTTATTCTCTTCTTTTTTCTTTTTTCTCCCTGCCAAACTCTAGGAAACGAAAACAAAGATGCCATGTTGGACTTTCATCAGTGAGGATAAACGCAATTGTTATATTTATGTGACCTTTATCGTGATAAGCTTACATTTGTTGTTTTTGCTTAAACAGAGTACATTATCAGCTGTTATTTTTCTATTTGTTCCATTAGTTTTGTCGCTTTTGTGCGTATATTATATTCGCATATTATTGCGCAGGAATGTCTGTTTGGCACCAAACAAC